ACTCTGCGGTGAGACTTTTCACGCTTAGTCGCAGAAACTCGAGTGCTCCATACGTTCTGAGGGTAAGTGCACATTTTCAAATGAACTTGGCTTATCTTTAGCCTAATCCAAGAGCTTTGAGCTTTCAGGGGCAGATTTAGAGGGGCTGGATTGGGTGGCAAGTCATTCCCCTTTTGAAGAAGCAAAACATTTTACCTTGTGCATATATTTAGCGTCTACTCGTTTCTTCTATTTATTCGTTAGTTGGATTTAGTTTTTGTGGGTTTTGTAATTTATTAGGTAGTAACAGATGAAGAGCCATTTTTTTNTTTTTTTTGTATGGATACTCTGTTAATAAACCATTACTAGTATTAATAATAATAATAATAATAATAATAATAATAATTTATTGATTTATAGTGCGCTTTTTAACATACCAGGTTATCAAATTATTATTATTATTATTATTATTATTATTAAAACATAAAAAAAATTGAAAGAGGTTATGAATATTATGGCAGAAATGTAGGCAAACTCCTTGGACAGATACCTCGTTGCAATTTTTACTTTGTGGCATTGCTAGAATTTCTAGTGAAATGGTTTTCAATTATGTTTCAATTCTCAAATTGCAACATTCTAGGAACATGCCCCATTGATTCTGCAGCTCCAAGGTAGCAGCCACCCCCCTTCCTGAATACGCCCCTGAACTTCTTACAATATCCATACAATGCAAGACCGACAGGACACTTAAGACTTATACATAGACACTGAAGGGAACCTCGTGGCTTATGTGGTGATCTAACGGAGCTAATACTTCAAGAGTGTAATTAACAAGGTGAATGGATGTTGCGTTGGTTTCAACGGGCTCCAAGTGTTTTCATTCTGCCTCTTCAGTGATACTGTACGCGTAGAATGAAACTTTTGCAGTTGCACTTTTTTGTGGTTGGAGCGATTCAATTTTTGGGCTAACTTGAGACTTTCTCTAGGCCTTTTCTTCAAATTCCACGAAATTTGTGTAATAAACATGATAAAGAAATAAGAGGGCGAACACAATTTCAGAATTTTTTTGCCTGTTATGTCGAGGAGACGGTTTGCTAACTACGTTTAAACAGCGAGATAGTCAGAGTACCTATTGTAGTATAACACTGGCTGTTTTTAGACCTCTCTTAGACAGTGAGGGCACCAAATTCAAACGTGTGAGAAAGTATGAATTGGAGAGACTTGGTTTAAATAGATATGATTCTAAGTGAGTTTCTACTGCTCGATCTTTCATTTGCAGATTGTG